ATCGCTATTAACCTACTTCGTGTTGAATTTTCATAATTGTTAAGCCTAACAAAAATTTTTTTTAATAATAATCGTCGCTATTGTATCGTTAAAAATTATTTTAAAATTATTTTATTGCTCACGAAACAAACAACCACTCATAATTGGAAAATTAAGTCTCGTTTAAATACTGGCCTCCCTTCAATGGTCGAGTTGTTGATGCCAGCTAAAACACGTAAATATTTAATAAAAATAATATTAAAGTAGCCCAGATATAGTCAAATATTGTAATGCCACATCACTAGCCGACGTTTGAAATTTGCCGACTAGAACGGTCGGTTAACCGATGTGACGATTAATCGGGGGGTCGGATAATCGATGCTGTACAGGGTTGTTGTACATTTTAAACGTTTCTCACCATAGCTGTAAAAATCTAAATTTGCTAAACTTAATAGATTGTCCGTCATTTGTTTTCTAACTAATTCGTCTTAAGACCAGATGTCCACGGAAATTTCCAAAATTTACAATTTTTCGGTCGCTCTCGTTGAACTGAAAAAATTTCTGTTTATATTACGTCTAATATTACGAAGAAATCAGTCCCCACTGTACTCGGCAGTGGGTCGGTTAAGGTTTTGTTTAAGCAAAATTCCGGCTCTTTCAGCAGAGTTTTATTTATGTCCCTAATTCCCTAATCGCTTAATTATTTAACTACTACTTAAATAGAAATAAGTCGAAAGCGGTTACTTCGTACTCGAATATTTGTAGTCTCGGGAAAAAAGTGGAAAGACAAATTTTTATGACCACGGATACATAAATCGGAAATTTAAGGAAAATAAATTCTAGAGATTTTTCTGTACCTCGTGCATCTCTCTCATTCATTAAATTTATTTGTAAATGATGCTGTCAAAGTAACGGTTAATTTTTTAACATTGTACAAGAATTGTACACGTTTTTTTTACATCCCCTTTTGTACGGGACATACGAAATCGTAATATCACTGGTTTAACATTGAAATCTGTAAGTAATATAAAATGGGAGAGCGGAATAAAAATATCAAATATTTTAATGGATTTTTTTTAAAACTCCTGTCAACTATACAAAACTATCGTAAAAACATACCAGTAAATTCTCATCGGTTGGGTTGTTATAAATCTACTCATGACTCGCATAATGGGTCGAGGGCGGCCAAATATCTAGCGGGCGAGGCGGCTAACAGGCCAGAATCGGTCCTGGATAAAATTGGATGCGTTATACGTGTAGCATCCACTTAAGGTCCTAGGCTTCCACCAGCTAAAGCAGGTGAGATTGATGCTCTGTAAAGTGCATGCACAAATCTGGTGTTTGGATGCTGACAATACAGCGCTTCCATTCGCCACGAATATTCGAATATACAATAGCAATCTTATCTTTTTTTTCACGTTAGTATAGAAATTTGTAATAAGATACATAATGCGGTTATAATAAAATATTGTGCGATTATTTTCATATAATTAAAATTAATATGTATTTATTTTTTAAAAAATACAAGGGAAGCGGCGTTTCAACCGCTTCCAATGACGGCACGCCACTGGACGATAATGTAGTCGCCACATATAGTGTCTCAGTTTGCCAATGACTTTATTCACAGCGAAGCATTATTCGCATGCACTTTCCAACGACACTTCCGCACCTAAATCTCATAGAACATGCGTGAGATGCTCTGGGCAGACGAGTTGCATCCAGTGTGTCTTCAAAAACACTGTAGGAGAATCAGTATGATCTTGTTTCAAGTAGAGACTTTTTTCTCGACACATCTAATAAATCAGATGTGTCGAGAGAAAAGTCTCTACTTGAAACAAGATCATACTGTTAAAACGTTATAACTAGCATCAACAATTAGTGTGCAGTGTGGTTGTGTGTGTGCAGGAGGCAGCCATACACTATTAATCATCTTCTGTGAAAGAAGATCTATGATACCACTCACTAATTTTACTTGGTTTCGGTTTAATAAAATTTTAGTAAACTTTTTGCTTTTCAATTGTTTTGTTATGTGAAGAATACCATGTTTGCTCGTAAGTTAAATTCACACTATTCTGAACAGAACATCTTCAGTTATACGCGGAATTAATGGTTGTTCTTATATTTTGGAATTTAGAAATATCCTTAATAAAAGCGGGAAACTTTATATTTGTTATGAGCGAATTGTATTATTTACTCGTTGAGATCAGTTTTTGGCCTGTAATAAATAAGTTTTTAATAAATAATGAATGCGTGTTTATTTCTAACCCACATTAATTAAACATTGCGTCTGTACATTGTGTTAATTCATTGCTTCCTGTTTGATGCAACCGTTCAGAGGTAGAAACGAGTTGCATTACCTTCTCGGCTGTTATGACATATTATATAAAAATAACTTTTATATTATCATAAGGCTGGGTAGAGGCAAGCCGTCAAGTAAGCGAGCAAACGAACGAACAATTTAACAAAGAGAACAAGTTTATTATATTATTTATTTTTATGAAATTTATGAAAATCTGGACCTTATTTAGATGAAGAAAATTCGGAAAACTTCACATCTGTTCTCGACTTTCATGTTTCTAACTTCTTTCTCGAGATTAACGAAATATACACAGGCAGAAGACAGGTTATGACTGTCCGAAATTTATAGATTTACAATTTTTCTAATTGCATTCCTATAATTTTTCTAGATACAAATGAAATTGACACAAATGAAAGACGATTACGTATGGGAGGCAACACCATAATTGGAAATGGTACAATAAGCTGAAAATGTTCAATGACGACGATGATATATATGAGTAAAATTTTCATTAAGTCTACCCATGACGAGATACGACACATGAGCACTCGTATCTTCCCACCCCTCGACTCGTAATCACCAAAATTAGTGACAATGCTCTTTATATACAGGTTACCATTTCAAATTTCGTTTCTAAATCTTTACCCTATCCTAAAATATTAAACGAAACTAACGCCAACACATACAAACACATATCCATAGAATTTTTCCCGTCACCATCATACTGGGTTCAGGAAGTCTCAAAACATTCACCTCCAATTTCGACACCAATACATTCCCTTGTTACATGCATGTAACAGCTGGGAAATTATAAGTCGATGTTGGACTTATTTCTTATCCTACTTATTCTGCAATAGTCCCGCTTTAGTGTGGGAAAAGTAGTGTTTACCCCGAGATGGTGAGGAGAAATCACATGGTCTTTGTTTGTACAAAGGAACGAGGAGTAAATATTAACGACAAGAGAAATATGCAGTTTTAAAATATGCTTAATTCTGCTTATTATTCTCGTGTAAATTGACAATATAAATAAATAGAACGAATAAAACTAATTTTATTCGTTTTATGTATTTACACTTAAGCGTATAAACATCCAAATAAAATATTCTTTCTTCATTGCATAATACACTACATGTACAGTACAATATCTTAATTAATACGTGCTCTTTATTCATTCACATTCTTTGAACGTTTTAAAATTAACCATCTAAAGTCATAAATATAACATAATCGATTTTATAATTACATTACCATAAAACGTTAATTTTCTATTATGTCAATCAATATTCGCATATTTTCAACGTAGCTAATTAAAACATAAACAAACCAAGGGATAAAGTATTAACCTTGCGTGGATAATAGTTACGTGGAACATCGAGGAAACGAAGAGAAATTTTAATTTTATTCTTTTGAGTCTACCGGTCAGTATAAATCTATTAAATACTCATGGAATATTCTATTTTGGACGCAATTCGTCCGTATCTAAACGTTTTACGCGTCATTGGTGTATTTATACCCAAGCGCCAGGATTATTTATGGGTTAAAGCGCTTCTATTTAATACGTACTTTATAACGATAATTTCTATTTTCGTCTTTTATCCGGATCAATTATCAAAGATTTTTATAAATTTGCATATTGACGAATTCTGTGGCATTCCCGTTGCTTGGGATATCTACGGTACCCATTCACGCTTCGTATTATTCGGTGCACTTTTAATTTCTCCGTTATTTCTTTACCTGTATAATACAAATGCATTTCAAATAATTAAGGCAATGAAAATCCTGGACGAAAACGTAAAATACGCAAAGAAAATTTTTCCAAAATTACTGCACTATCAAGACTTAGTTTTAATTTATTTCACCTTGGTCCAAATATTTGTGTGTTTGTTATTTGGCACTTTGTACGTGTATTACAGGAACGTTTACGGATACTCTAAATTATTCTGGCAAGAAAGCTTCTGTACCTTTCATTTATTATTCGGCATTTTCACCAACGTTAGCGTCATTTGTTACGGCACGGGATTCATTGGGATTCTTAGTTACATCTGTATTCAATTATTAGACACATTTATTATAGACATAAAGGAAAAAATACAAAGCGAAGAAATTAATAGCAAGACATCGCAACTGGAACTGTCGTCCATTGTATATTTTATTAAAAAGAACGATAAAATATTCAAAACAATTCAGGCTTTGTTGATAACAATTTTCATTCCCATAATCAGCATTGTAAGTATATATGTGGTACTTTACGTATCGTTTACAATAGAATATCTGTTGATATGCTTTGCAATCTTTTGGCTGTGGATTGTTACAGTAATATATTTTCTTTACTTGACAAGAATTCCTTCGAACGTAAGTTACTTTCATTTTACAGAAAATTTGTTAATTTTATCTCTTCTAAACCATATAAATAGTTTAACGACAATTATATAATTAATACATTTCAGATGGAACGGTTTTTCACTTGCATAATGGACATTTATTTCCTTGACGATGACAATAACAGAATCGTAAATATTCTTTCTTAACTTATAAATTGAATATTTTACTTCGATTTTCACTAAAATATGTCTGATTTTTACTACATTTTAAATCAAAACTCTCATAACGACAGTACAATGAAATGTGTTTTCTTTGTTTTCAGACGGAAGTATTAATGTCCATATCGAGAGGCGAAGTGGGATTCAGAAGCAACAATTTCTTTTTCTTCGACAAGCAAGCGGTTTTAAGTGTAAGTTTAATATCTCATATACTATTTTATAATACGGTATATATTGTTTCTACTATTGTTTAAATATTGATATAATATTTTCTATAAAAGTGTATTTTGTTTCAGTACACTGTCGAATTCATCACACAATTAATTGCATTTTCGATAATAAGAAGTAAATCCACCACAAATTAGTAGGTATCCACCGGATATTTGACTGATTCAATTGACAGATAATAATTGAAAAATTCAGTTCGATGCACTACGTCAACTGCAGCAATATTGCAGATTTTGAAATTAGACGTGATGTTCATATTGTGAAATCAACAGTGATTTTACGTCATCATTTTCAATGCCCGTATGCGGAGAGAGTTGAGGCTGGAGTAGATTTTCAACGGCTTCGTCTACTGCAAAGGAATTCAAACGTTAAGTTGATTGTAAGAAAGTTCTTTGTTAATTATTATGGATTCATCAAAATGCAAAGATGCATTTTACTGTGAAAGAAGAAACTGGGATGTTTTTATGAGTTACGACAACGCAATTTTTCCGCGCATTTAGAGTTTCTTTTAACTTCACATACGAAGAACAATGCATCAGTTATAGAAAATGAGTATTCGAGACAATTGAAAAACAAGGGATATAACTATATCTTCTTATAGCAGGAAACAGTTGGCAGAAATTGACAGCCCTCTCGTCTGCAACTGCGATAAAATATTGGAAAGAAGAGTTAAGAAAACTGTTTAATATATTTTAAAGCGATTCGTTTATAATCATTAATTAAATAATATTAAACACAGGAGAATGGCATCGCTGTCACATAAGTGGGAGTCACATTTGTAGGGAAATGGAATACCAAACGAATGCCATTGTTCTTAAATGTTCACTAGCAGAAAACAAACTGTACATAAACTTTGCACCGTTCTCAGCAAAACCTCTGTTCGTTGCTCACAGAATAAAGAAATTCGTTCGGCATCGGCTAAGGATGCATGTAAATATGTTGATCTGTGACAGAAATTCCAACATTGTAACAAAGTCAAAGCCGAACCAGATGTGCTTATCGCACTTTTGTGCTCGGAAGGAAAATGTAGATGATCTGTCATCTTTGTGATTTTTTAATATACAGTACAAGATGTGTAATAGATAAAAGTTTATACTACTGCAATTACTTTAAAACTCACTTTCTGTAATAGGAAACAACAATTCTACTTTTTAATTGTTTATTAGAGTCGGCATCTCGTCTACCGCGTTTGTACGTTTTATCACGAGTAATATATAAGAGAAAATACATAGATAATAGTGATGTACAAATAGAACGAGTAAAGGCACTTAGTACTGGGATATCAGTTATCAAATTATACTTTAATAGATATGAGAGAATTGTTTTTTATGTACAGATTATAAGTAAAATAATGTATGTATAGGCGTTATTGTTGTTAAAATATTAAGTGTTAATAAAACAATCGATATCTTGTATGATTAAAAACCGTATTTTAGTGTATTATCTTCGAATAAATCTGCCGAAATAAATTACGTAGAGACGTCTGAAAATATTGTCTACAGAAATTATAAAAAACAAAATGTTACAACTTAATCTCTTTACATAAGCCGTAGTCTGGTTTAAAATAAACGGTTTGTTAACGGGAATATAGGCGATGTCTAACAAAAATTTCTTGTACTTAGTACGTACAATTTCCAGATACATTGTAGCTAGCATTTCATTCTATTGTAAATCGTTTGTTTTTTAAAAGAAGTCTAGCAACGAGTTAAGTAACTTTCCCGGCGAAAAACACCAAGACACACTAGCATAAAAGTGAAATCGTGCAGCGCCATTTGTTATGAGATTTTTTTAAAATAGTTGTTATATTATTAAGTTTTATGAAATAACAAAAAAATTAATTCATCAATGTCTATTAAGATCCTATTATGCTTTTTATATAAAACGAGTTTATACGCATATATTGTACAAACTCTAGCGACATTAAATCATACAAGAAACCAACTCACTCATTGTTTAAAAAGTTTCTTTATTATCTTTTGGTTTGTCAAAGGCCTAAGCCTCATCAGTCTGGCCTGATTTGACATTTGAATACGTACAACGGAATCATTAATCATTAAAATTACAAAATTATCTTATAAAAGGTATGTACAGAGAATGTATACAAATAAAGTAATCAAGCATCAATATTACAGTGTGATTTGATGAATTACGATATAATACAAGCAATAAAATCTAAAAACAACGGTAAACTGTAGTTAAAATTAACTTTAAATACTAAAATGCAAATATTAAAACAAAAATACCTTTAACAATGTGAAAATAAAAATAATCATTCGGATTTAAAATATACTAAGACGATAATGGAGAACTAAACAAGGCGGTTAGAATAAATTACGTATACTATATCTTTTTGTATACTGTATAAGGAAATTTTAGAAAAAAATAAACATAAAATAACTGTGTTTAATTAACACATTACATGGTTTAATATATTTATTTATAAAGATGTCTGTATTGTTTCTATGAATACTAACATGTAAAATATTAATAGTGTTGTGAGATTCTCTCTCAATATCGAATTTTAAATCAGAGTGGATGAGTTAGCGCAGGTGAGTATTGCGTTAGTGTCGGTTAAATAGGAGTCATATACAGGTAGACAATCATCAACGTATGTATTATAAAAAATTATACCTCTTATAGTACTTAGAACATTATCTGGCTCAATACAAAGTTCATCAAGTTTGAGACCAATACAGGAGCCCATAAATATACCACGGTCACAATTCAGATTATGTAAAGTATTAATAATGAACTGCTTTGTAGTAGAAGGGTACATGTTTTTGACGTCAAGACTCATTATTCTATACTTTTCTTTAACAGTAATATTTTTAATATTAGTTAGTAGTTCTTCAGAGTATGGATCATATGGTATTTCAATGTAATTATCTGGATTAGTAATATTATTTAAAACTGANAAGAAAAAGAAATTGTTGCTTCTGAACCCCACTTCGGCTCTCGATATGGACATTAATACTTCTGTCTGAAAACAAAGAAAACACATTTCATTGTACTGTCGTTATGAGAGTTTTGATTTAAAATGTAATAAAAATCAGACATATTTTAATGAAAATCGAAGTAAAATATTTAATTTTTAAATTATGAAAGAATATTTACGATTTTGTTATTGTCATCGTCAAGGAAATAAATGTCCATTATGTAAGTGAAAAACCGTTCCATCTGAAATGTGTTAATAATATAATTCTCGTTAAACAATTTATAAGTTTAAAAGACAGACAATTCACAAATTTTATGTAAAATGAAAGTAACTTACGTTCGAAGGAATTCTTGTCAAGTAAAGAAAATATATTACTATAACAATCCACAGCCAAAAGATTGCAAAGCATATCAACAGATATTCGTATGTAAACGATACGTAAAGTACCATATATATAATCGCAATGCTGATTATGGGAATGAAAACTGTTATCAACAAAGCCTCAATAGTTTCGAATATTTTATCGACGCTTTTAATAAAATATACGATCGACGACAGTTCCAGTAGCGATGTCTTGCTATTAACTTTTTTCCTTTGTATTTTTTCCTTTATGTCTATAATAAATGTGTCTAACAATTGAATACAGATGAAAGTAAGAATCCAAAGAAAACCCGTGCTATAACAAATGACGCTGACGTTGGTAAAAACGCCAAATATAAAATGAAAGGTACAGAAACTTTCTTGCCAGAATAATTTAGAATATCCGTAAGAGTTCCTGTAATACACGTACAAAGTGCCAAATAACAAACACACAAATACTTGGACCAAGCTGAAATAAATTAAAACTAAGTCTTGATAATGCAGTAATTTTGGGACATTTTCTTTGCGTATTTTAAGTTTTCGTCCAGGATTTTGATCGCCTTTATTATGTGAAATGCATTTGTATTAAACAGGTAAAGAAATAACGGAGAAATTAAAAGTGCCTCGAATAATAGGAAGCGTAAATGCGTTCCGTAGATATCCCACACAACGGGTATGCCACAGAATTCATCAATGTGCAAATTTATAAAATCTTTGATAATTGATCCGGATAAAAGACGAAAATACAAAGTATTGTTATAAAGTATGTATTAAACAGAAGCGCTTTAACCCATAAATAATCCTGGCGCTTGGGTATAAATACTCCAATGACGCGTAAAATGTTCAGATAAGGACGAATTGCATCCAAAAGAGAATATTCCATGAATAGATTTGGTTGCTTTTCTATTGATTGTTAACCTGTGAAAAAAAGACTGACGTTATCTCTTGGTCTCCTCGATGTTCTTGGTATTTTCATTATTCACTATCCCATAATATATCACTAAACGCTCAGAGGTAATTTCTTAATTTGTTTACATATTAATTGCATATATTGATTGATATAATGGAATATTAACTTCCTTAATGGTAATATAATTTTAAAATCCATTATGTTATATTTATCATTTTGGATGGTGAATGTTAAAAGTTTGAAAGAATGCAAGCATGAATAAGGCTGTGTACACACTAAGCGTTTTTAAACGCGCGTTAGCTCGGCGTTCGACGAGCGTTTAGCGGAGCGTGCGCACTGGCTCGGTTTGGAAATGGATGTGGAAGTGATTGCTTGTGTGTGGCTCCTCTATTGTCGCTATAAAAGACGACGGCAGAGGCAAAGAGAATTTTGGGTGCACCCAATATTACGAGATAGACTGACGCATGAAATGTTTGCGACGTTGTATCCAAAACTACGACAATATGAACCTAAGTTTTTTAATTTTAATTATTTTAGAATGTCTATAAAATCATTTGACGACTTACTCCATATTATAAAAGTAGATATTACCCAAAAGCGCGCGATCGAATATACAGCAAAATGGCGGCGTAAATCTAGAAGCGCTCGGCTAACGCCCGCAAAACGCGCGTTTTAACAAAAATCTATAAACGCGCGTTTAACGCGCGCTTGGCCAAAAGCGCGCATTTGAGTGTGTACGGCTACATAGAACTCTTGGTTCTTTAAAACGCGCGTTAAACGCGCGTTTAAAAGCACGCGTTTAACGCGCGTTGAAAAACGCCTAGTGTGTACAGGGTCTTAAACGCGCGTTAAACGTTCGTTTAAAAGCGCGCGTTTAACGCGCGTTGAAAAACGCCTAGTGTGTACAGGCTCTAAAGAACACACATTAATTATAGATCATGTTGTAGTACATCAAAACTAATGCTATAGGCCATCATTTATAAAATTGATATTAGTCTGGACATTTTCCAGACCGATTCCCTAAAAGCAGTTCGTCGCTTTCCATAGAAATAGGCTTAATAATTTTAATAATCCCAGAATTTCCTTATTATTAATATTATAATCATTCAGAAAGGATATTTTAAAACTCTTCACTTGCGGTTGTAGTGTATGTAGTGAGTGGCCGGTTGGCCGAGCGGTCAAGGCTGCAGCTTATCACTCTGGGTGACCCGGGGTCAAATTCCTGGGGATTATTTGATCCGGACGGGTCAAATAATCCCCAGCAATTTTTCGGGAGGTGGTCCGTTCGGATATGTCGGGCC